ATTCCCTGAAGTCAAAGCAAGCAAAGAAGGCAGAAAAGCTGCAGATTCATAATGCAGAGCTGTAATTAGTCAGCATTTGCTCTTCATTTCAGGCTCCAGTACACCTTTCCCCCCTGAAGGATACTGCGAGATTTCACTTGTTTAAAAAGAATACCCTGGCTATATTGCACGAAGCATAAATTGGCACACACACAGTATTACCAAACATTATGTGCTTTGTCAGATATTGGCTAGTGTGTTGCAGGAAACAAATTGTGTGGCTTACCTTGTTTGACAACCCCTGTGAAAATTGTATACAAATAAAGCATACATTGTTCTCTATTTGTAATAGCCAGCCAAATATAACTATATATCCCCCAAATATGAAGTTATTATTTACTGCTGGCTGAGCATGCAGGATTGTGTTAGGCTGTTGTCATTGAACTAGAAGAAAATTAAAAGGGCCTCTATGCTGAAATTGCAGTATTCACTGAGCAAGCTAAAGTCTTGAGGGAGGGGTCATTTTGAGATTTATCATGGGGAGGAATGTATGTGTGTGTACACGCATCCTCCTCCCCAGAATAAATCTCAAAATGATCTCTACCCCCAAGACTTATCTCGTCCATCAAGCAGCAGGTAAAGTGCCCCTACAATCCCCTAGCAATTGTGCAACTGTGACAGAAATTAGCAGATCACTTTGTCTTCTTTCCACTCCCACTACCTACAATTTCTATTAAATTGTAGAGATTCGCACCCTCGCCACCGTCCAGGCCTTCCGCACAGCCTTGAAGAACTGGCTCGCCCGTCAGGCCTGGGGACAAGGATAGTTCCCCTCCCGAATGATGAATGTATGTTGTTTATTATTTTATTATATGTCTTATCTTAATGTCTGTATTTCCCCTTCCCCGATTTTATGTGAGCCGCCCTGAGTCCCCTCAGGGAAAAGGGCGGCCTACAAATATTAATAAATAAAATCTCAAATTGCCCTTTATGGTTTACAAAGAGGAAAACTTTCAAAGAAGCAACAGCAGCACTCTTAGAGGAGCCTGAAACTAACAGGTATCTTGTCAATGGCAATTCCAACCGCTGCAACTCCTGAAAATATACCTCAGTCACTTCAGGGTCCCCCTAAGATCAATATTGCATAAGGACTTCCACACTCAGTCCCCTCGCAAGCAAACCAGCCAAGGGAATGGTGGAAAGAAAGAAAGAAAGATTACATCCCACATAGGCCTGTCATTCCCCAGCCATTCTTGCTTGTTTTCTCAAAGCTCTAGGAAACATTTACTTTTAACTGATTTTTCCCCCCTTCACAAATGAAAAAATGCCATTCAATGTGAGGTTATAATAAACGGGAGAAGTACAAAGGGGCTTGGATTTTGGCAGACCTGGAAAGAGAACAAGGAGGGAGCCTGATGAGGAGGGAGGCAGCTGGATATTGCAAACGCTCTGCTGGCTGGGCAAACTTCTGAGTGTTTGCAGCTGGCGAAAGGAACTCACAAAAGGGATTATGCCTTAACTTGGCAGGGGGAGAGAAAGGAGCTACCCTCTCCAGCGGGGAGAAATGCTGTTTCTCCTTTCTGTTTGCAAGAGAGCATGACTGGCAGAGGCCTTTCAGAATCATGACACCTTTCGGCAACTGTGCTCTGGAGCAGAACCTCTCCATGACCTTTCTTAGGTTTATTTGGTTTGGGCAAGAAGTACTTTTTCACACAACACTAATCTACGCACTGACCTCCCCCCTCCCTCCCCTCCCCTTCACTCTACCTCCACACACTTTAAGCTCCAAACCCACAGAACAGTGCAGCCACAGAGCTCTCAACAGGGATGAGTTTGCACAATATGTTGGTGTTGCCAAAACTGGACGCAGAAAAGCTTCTGCACAAAGCAGAGCTTTTCTCTTCAAGTGCATCTGCTGGGCAAAGAACTTTGCACAACTTAGGGGAAAGCATTAGGTTTCTGCAAGTCAATTGGGGAAAAGTCTCTCCTCTTCTTCCTTTCCCCCCCTCTCCTCCCCTCCCCAAACATAGAAAGCAGGGTCGAACATTTTGAGGAGCAGAGGCCTTTCATTCAACTCAACCTTTCCTATCTGACCCCTCCTGGCATTTGCTCTCTAGGGCACAGGGGCAGGTTAAGCATTAAACTAACCTGACAGTGAAATCAGTCCTTAAGAGACACTCAAAGAAATCCGGCCCATACGGAGATGGAGAGAGGACTTAGTGCTGATGCCTTCTTCACACCTGGTCGGCTCTCTCGCTCTCTCGCTCTCTCTCTCTCTCCCTCCCGCACCACCCGGCAAAAACCCAGCCATCTGCAGCAAAGGAGCCCACCCATTCCCTTTGATTTGGAGGTCCCTGGCGACGCCAGCGCTGCTGCTGCTGCTGCTGTGGCTGCTGCTGCTGCTGCTCTGGGAGCGGTTTCTGCCGAGCTGCAATAAACAATAAACCCCAAGACTCGCAGAGGCGAAGCGGCTGGCTGGCCGGCTGGGCTCTCCTCCTCCCTCCCCCAAGCCCGCGGCCGCGAAAGTTGCGCTTGGCCGCTGCAGGCAGCCCGGCTCCTGCCTTCTTTAACAAAGAAGCCCCGGCTTACTTTCTTGAGCCATGCTGATGACAGTCTCGGTGGTGGCGTGGTACTCGTCCTCCTCCAGGTAGTCGTCGTGCTGGAAGGAGTCCCCCTGGAAGTCGTGCAAGTCCAGGATCTGCTGCAGCGGCGGGGCTTTGGGCAGCAGCTGGTTGACCACCTCGCGGGTGATGTTGGGCGCCTCTTTGAGCCTCAGCTTGCTGAGGATCTGCGACTTGATGCTCTCCAGCCTCATCTCTTTGCTGTGCTTGCGCCAAAGGCACACCGGGCAGCTCTGGTCCTCGGGCTCTGTCACCAGGGGGACGCCCTCCGTGGGCGCCTTCTCGCCGGGCTCGCCCGCGCAGAACTCCAGCGACAGGACCAGGAAGCCCCAGAAGACGGTCGACTTGGGCACCGGCATGTCTGGCGCTTCTCCGCTCGCTCGCTCGCTCCCTAGCCCAGCAAGCCCTGCTCCTTTCTCTTCTGGCTCGGCCTCGGGATGATGGGCTGCAGCTGCTGGGTGCTTGGGGGGTGGTGCCGCCGCCGCCGCTAAGTTCTTTGGGGTTGGAGATGGGGGGGCGACTTGCTGGTTGGGGGAAGGAGAGGAGGGGGGGGAAGAAAGAAGGACTCTCCTTTTATATCTCAACTGAACTGTGTCGTAAAAAGCCTTGATTGGCTGCGGAGGCAACAAAAGAGCTCTCGGCAAAAGGGCTGTCACCGGCAGGGGAAAGCGAGCGGACTTCTCCGCGCTCTCCTCGGGTCAGGGCGAAGCATTCCGACCGCGCTCGCCTCTCCCGGGTGTCAAACCTTTTAAAGGCTGGCAGCGCTCTTTGAAGCGGGGAGGGGAGGGGGCGCCCAGATGGGGAGGGAGGGAGGGAGCGTGCGGAGGAGGCATCTGACAGCCCCTTAAAGAAACAAAGTCCCCTTTTTTCCCCTTCACCCCCAACCCCGCGCGCTACCTTCCCGCGGCAGGCGGAGCGGGGTGGCTTTCGGCCCCGGGCCCCGAGGGGAGGAGGCGCTCCTAACAATACGCGGGGAGGGACGGCTCGGGCACTCGGGCGAAGCGGTGGCCGAGCGAGCGGCCAGAGGGTGGGGAGGACGGAGAGAGCGAGGGATAAGCGTCCGCCACTATCCTCGACCTCGTCCCGCCTCGGGTGCCGACCCACCTGGCGCTCCCCCCCCCCAATACACACGAGCCCCTCCGGGCTTCTGGACTTCTGAGGCGGCCAGCACCGTTTTGCTTCGGCGCAGAGTTTGCCTCAGCGTCCCTCCCCTCCTCTCTCTCTCTCTCTCTCTCTCTCTCTGGGCCATTTGACAGTTTCTAAGTGCCCGTGCCGTCTGACTCCCCGATCGATTCGACCGTTTCTAGCTCTCTCCTTTTCTCTCCGGGTCCTGGGTGGCTTTGACAGTCCTGGAGGGCTCCTCCCCGCTCCCGCCCGGCAAGACACGCGCGCCGCAGCCAAGACAGCGCGGAGCCGAGGAGAGGGAGAGAGAGGGAGCCCTCGCCCGCCTTTCGCCCGAAGNAGTAAACTTCCTCCCATATTTGGGCATACCAGGGGTTGTGACTTTAAATGTATATATGTATGTATGTATATGTATGTATGTGTGTGTGTGTGTGTATACATACATACATACACACACAATTCAAATATCAAATTAATAACAGCATCTACCATTCTGCTATCCTGTCTCAGTAGTCACCATCAAATCCCACATGTTCTCTCAATAGCATTTTTACCATTTTTATGGTTTTCCCATGGGAGCAAAATGGAGGCCAACTGAACCGCAGGAGAGTGTTATTCCCTCCAGAGAGAAACATTAATCTCGAGACCACCACCCCTCAATATACATCATGAAAATGAGCACCTTAAACATTCTTTCCTGGGAAGAATAGATAAGAGCTGTGTCCTACTTATAATGGATAGGATGTTTCTACTTGGAGACACATGGAAGCCAAGCCATCTGGTTTAAAACTAGGACTTTGAATTTGATCCAGAATCTTTATCGGAAAACAGTATAGCATTCCGAAGATTAGTGTCATCTAATTCTTATTTGATAATAGGTAGGCTGCTAGATTCAGATTTGATTCATTTTCAAAGAGATATAAGTTTAGCTTGAAGGGGATAAATTACCATGAAGTTTTATTGTACCCCTGATTAAGTAAATATGTGCAAAACATAGGAGCCTTCTGACTCCTTAAACATCGGTTCCAACCTCATTAGAAATATCTCAACATCAAATAGGGCTGTCCCAAACTCCATTTTACAGCTAGAAATAGTTCATTGCTGAGGTCAGTCTACTTTCAATGAAGTAGACCCAAAATAAACATACCTTTTGGGCATTTTAATGTTTTGTAGGTATACAATAATCTTATAATAATGTTTATATTGTAACTATCAAATTAATCATGTCTGTAGAAGTGTAACAAGTTATTAAGGTCTGGTCTCTGTTTCTTCTTAAAGGATGCAGAAAATAACCCTGCAGGTGCTGAAGAAGCTGGGTGGTTTTCTGACTTCTAATGAAGTATGCAAAAATACAAGTCATGTAATTGCAGGGAGCCCCCGCCGGACTTTAAATATACTTATGGGAATTGCTCGAGGCTGCTGGATTGTCTGTTACGATTGGGTAAGTAATACAGTAATTCTTTTTTCATTATTTGGTGACATTAATGGTAAATGAATATATGTGGTAGATAGTGTGAAATATTAACATGTTCCTGTTAAACAAGATTAGATAAGTTCATTAAGTGTCGGCTGGCAGATCCCCGGAGGAGAGCCTTCTCTGTGGCTGCTCCGACCCTTTGNTAGCAGTCTTCCAATATCTCAGGGGCTGCCACAAAGAAGAGGGAGTCAAGCTGTTCTCCAAAGCACCTAAGGAAAAGGCAATAAACAATGGATGGAAACTATTCAAGGAGAGGAGCACCCTGCAACTAAGGAGGAACTTCCTGACAGTGAGAACAATTAATCAGTGGAACAACTTGCCTCCAGAAGTTGTGAATGCTCCATCACTGGAAGCTTCTAAGAAGAGACTGGACAGCCATTTGTCCAGAATGCTATGGGGTCTCCTGCATGAGCAGGGGGTTGGACTAGAAGATCTCCAAGGTCCCTTCCAACGTTGTTATTCTATTATTCTCTCTGTATCTTACATTTGGCATTCCTATTGCCGTACGGGACAATGAGACAACTAATAAGTGTGCCAACACTGCAAAGAGCCTTGTGGCTTGTATGCAATTAAAAAAAAATATATTGAAATATTCTGATTGGAGTTGGGTGTTGTTCTGAACAGCTCCCTGTGCACATTCCAACTGTTTTGCTCTTTCCTTAAGCCCAAAGGGATTTATGCTCTTCAGCTACCGATTATTTATGTATTAATTCATAATAAATGCTCGCATTTATTACGATCTTGAAGTGTGCAAGCATGTTTCCCCAGAGGTAATTAGAAGTAATTAGGGACAGGAAAGCCAAGATAAATGTAAAGCTGTAGATCTAACCTCCTCCTCCCCCACTCCAATCTGGAAGAGAATAAGAAAAAAATAAATGTTGATTAGATAGGAAAATCTTGGTTCTGGATCTCAGCTGTACACCAGTGGATCAAACAATATCCCCACCACCACTTGGGAACCCCATCTCAAAAATGCTTCTCAGTGCGCCACAATTGGGAAGCGAGGATCTCAGGCATTGCCCAGGCAAGAAGAAAATCAAAGTTAATTCCTGTCCTTCAAGAATTATGTCCCAGTTCCTTAGTCTGTAGGGCAGAGCTAGGTTGCTCCTGGTGTGACCCGTCAAATGCGTGCCTGAAAAAAACTGCGCCGACAAAACCGCGGCGCGAAAAGAACGAGGTCTAAATCGTGCCCACAGAAGCGCGACGATAAATGTGCAATGACGAAAGTGCGATTAGGGTTAAGGTAAGGGTTAGGGTTCGGGTTCGGGTTCGGGTTAGGGTTAGGGTTAAGGTTAGGATTAGGTTTAGGGTTAGGGTTAGGGTTATTACGTTGTTTTCGCATTGTTTCTTGATGGCGCGTTTTCGTCGGCGCGCATTTATCGGCACGCTTCTGTGGGCGCGATTTAGACCTCGCTCTTTTCTCGCCGCGGTTTTGTCGGCACGCTTTTGTCGAGCGCGCATTTGTCGGTGAACCACTCCCGGTCTTACTACCGATTCACTTCATGCACACTTTGTGGCATACGCAGGACAGTTTTTGGCACTGCCGCATGCATAAAGGAATCGCGCTCCAGAGAAGCTGAACTTCCAGGTTCTGACATGGATGCGTACCTGACAATCAGCTGATCGGCGTGCATGCGCAGGCTGGTGTTTTTTTTTTGAAAAACGAGGGTTTGGGGGACTAAGATTGTGATTTATGCTTTCTCAGGAAGCCTAGGTCAGAAGACTAGGTAACATCAGAGCTAGAAGGGAGTGGGGTTTGCTGTTGATATACAAGTTGGTTGCCCTGTCAGAGTTCTTCTTGGTGATTATTTGGTTGGACTGTTTACTGTCAGCTTATATTTATCTGACAGTTGGTAGTTCTTCCATTAGGGTTCTTTACTTTTGGCTTGTTGGTCTAATATTAATTTTGGTGTTAATCTGGGCATTGATTGTTGATGGGGAGGATGTTTTGGTCTTTTAGTCTCCTGTTTGACATTTTGATTGTCTCTTTTAAATGGTATGTAGACCTTGTTTATCTCTATGTGCCAGTTGATGGCTGATTTCTTTGAGTACCAAGGTGCCAGGGATTCTTGATCTAGGATGCTCACAGTTTCCCAGTTGACACTATAGTTAAATGTTCCAATGTGTAGATGCCTTGCCCAATTTTACACTTGGCTTGGCATTTCCATAAAGTTAAATAAAAATTGAATAGAGGAAATCCTCAAATGAAAAGTTTCTAGCACATTAAGCTTTCTTCATCTTGTTCATGTTGACTAATTTGGCTAGACACCCAAGCAAATTCTTCCACAAGGTTTTCCTTGATGCTTGCTTAGCACTAGCTATATCTCAAAAAGGCCAGACTCCAGTGAAGTCATGAGATAAACTGTAATTTTGTCCAATTGCAAATCTTGTTGAAAATTATAAACACAAATCATTGTCTATGGGGGTAAGACAGTAAGCGTTCAAAAGGTTTTTGATTTGACCTCTATTTTGATGGTGGTGTCAGGGTTCCAAATAGCACCCCAAAGTAAATCAGAGTCCNCCAAAGTTCTCACAACATCTTTGCACCTTGGGATTAGTTCAAAGATGAACTGGACACTGGGAAGAGTTTCAAAAGGAGCTGTTTAATGTAATGCTCCAGTGCAGGAGTTTCTGCCTACACTCTCTCGGCTATCGGTTAGCGATCTGATTAACACATCCAAATCAGAACTCCAAGGCAGGAACGTTCCTCAGAGAACTTGTTTATTGCACACATCATATTGGCACAGCCAGTGAAAACCAACTCTAAAGGTTTCTGCAGTTACCATGTAATTAAAAGAGCAAAGGTTTCCCTCCCCAGGTGTCACAGGTCACATTGTCCAATCAAAGCAGTTGGCAAGCTCCCTGGACCACTTCTGCTTCCTCCTACTGCCACCTATTTGGATGACCTTAGTTCCAATGGGAGAGCTCTTTATTTTATCTACGAGACGGTTTAGCTATTTCCCCCTCATCCTCCCCCCATAGTGCACGTCAACTATGAAACAGCACAAGATGGCAGAGTTGACACTATCATTGTCTTCCAATAAAAGTTCATTTTTAAATGCTGTTTGTTTCAAGAGTTCTGCTCTCGTAAGAAGACTGGCAAGGCAGGACTTTGACATCTTCTGTTCTTTCATCCCCCTACCACCATTCTTCCTCCATCTTTTGCAGCCCTACTGTTGTCTAACTTTTCTTTTTCTACTGTTGCCACAACTTTCTTTTAAGAGCTACTTTACTAATACAGCAAGCACTGGATCCTAAGCATATATCAGAAACAAACATGGTGTGCAGGTAATTTCACATATGTTCCATTATGTTCCTTACCCATCTGGTGGTGGTTCTTATTAATTATCTTATTAGTATGTGAGATACATGCAACTGTTTGACAACTGGAACATTATGAGATTATGGTGTTCTCTGAGGCTCCTTTTCTTCTTGTAGACATTTAATTGTAAACAGGAGCTTATAGCTAAAGCCCATCCTTTCTCAGATTTCAAGCAGTTCTCTTGACATTTTATTAACTTTTGAAATTTTGTTAGTAAAACTATCTTCCACATCCCTTTTATTGTCACTTTTAAGAATAACTGGTTCTAGTTTTTCATATGTGTTATCAATGTGGGGAAACCTTTTCTATGATTCTTCTACTTACCCTATTCTTTATATTTTCTTTCTCCTGTACAGTTTTGCTTTCTTGCTTTTTTTTAAATCACTTGATCTTCCCATAATATTTTCAATTGGATTTGTTATGCTATAACATCTTGTTCTTCTATTCATTTAAAAAAATCTTTACACTACTTGTATAACTATAATGTCTTGTATCTTCTTGAACTTCTGTGGACTTTAGCACTTAGTTGGACATTTTCTCTCTCTGTGTGTATTGGCTTTTCATTTCCTTTGCTTTACTTTCAAATGTCAGCGGAGATAAATTTCACTTCCCTTTTTTCCTTTAGCATTGGGATTATTTTTAGTATGATTCATCTTTCAAGGTTGCCCAAAATTCAGTTAGAATTTTTCAGGCATCCTCTCCATCAACATTAATCCATTAAATATATTCTTTACTTTCTTCACATAATCATGTGATTTACTGCTGATGTTGTATTTTGTTGTCTTTATACCTTTCACTTAAATTATAATTTAAGAAAGATTTGAGTTGAATGGATGAACAAGATGTTATATAACATAGCAACACCAAGTGAAAATATAATGGGAAGATCAAGTGATACAATACCAAGAAAGCCAAGATCGACTGGAGAAGGAAAATATAAGGAAGAAATAGGATGAGTAGTCAGCACCAAGTCATGATTTTCTGACTCAATAGAGCTTTTCCATACTTGATAGCAGAGTGTACGGATAATCTGATTCCCATGTTCTCCATCAGAGACATTTTAGGTTGTCAGAAGAAAGTATTTGCTATAAACATGGAATTTTCATGGGTCAACTCTACTAGTCAGTCCCCTCCTCACAAGAAGGGCTATTTTCTCACAACACATACGTACTTCCCCATGCCTTGTTCTGAAGAGGTTAATTGGGTATCTAATTTGTTATTTAAGGTGTATCCAGAAATTCTGATTGATACAATTTCTCAAACTGACTTTCCTCTCTCTTGGAAATGCAATTGCTAAATTGATTAAATTTCATATTCAAAAATATTAAAATTTTTAATAATAAATGGATCATTTTCTAATAACTCTCCTGAATTGTCGTGTGATGAAAACAGAGATAAATGTTTTGAATTAATAAAAGTAGCCTCTTCCTTTTTACTTCATACTGTAAGGGGTGGATGGATATACCAAGAAAAAGAGTATTTGCAACCTGATACCAAGGAGTGCTTGATAAATCGTATTTCTGCAGAGAGTTACACCAATGCATTTAACTTGTTTATGGAACAAGTTTATCTTGTCAAAGCTATGAGTTATGCTGTTGAATTCCACTATAGCACACTGTAGCTTTGAGAAACCAGATAAAAA